TCCAGGTCCCCTTGTTCACCTATGACCCTGAGAAAGCCATTGGTGCTTTCTCTTTGAGAGGAAACCCTGTCTCTTTGAGCCAAACACACTGCCTCTGAAACCGTAGATGGGGTCACTGTGAGTCAGCTTGGTTCATGGCTGTCCAATGTACCCACATACCGAGGACACTTCCCGGGTTCCACCCCTCCCCCTGCTTTCATACCTTTGAAAGAGCAGGGCTTTGGAGTCCTAAGTTCCAGTCGTGTGAGCATGACCAACTTACTTAATATCTTTGTGCTTGTTCCGGCCCACATGGTCATTGGGTCAGGACCCCATTTGACCAGTGATGCACTTGGGAAAAATGAATAAACAGAGCCTGTTGCCTGCCCGAGAGTTAGCGCTGCCTGAGGGTGTGTGCTGGAGGTGGGCCGGCAGCTTCACAGCAACTCTAGGTTGACAGACAGGACTCAGGCCTTGCTGATACTCACCTCCGCCTTGCAGGGACTTATCTGGTGGCAGCGGCTCTACACAGAGCAGACAGACAACAAGGAGAGAGTGGGGTGACTACAGCTACATGCGTACCCACACCCTTCTGCTAGACCACCATTCCGAGAAATCTCCCCCAGGAGGCCTGGGGAAAGGGTTAGCCAGTGGCCCCTCCTCTCTCCAGACTGAGAAGGGCCGGCCCCACCCTCTCCCAGTAAGATCCCCCTCCCAACAGAGACTGTATCTGAAATATTACCTTCAGACCCAGGAGGCTGCATTAGTCTGACATAAATAACTAAGCTGTCGTTTTTCCAGAATGCGGAACTCGCACTTTATTGACCCATTTAACCAACTGGGTTTTTAATAATGAGATTTTATTAGAGCAGAGCAGTACATATCATCAGTGGCCTCTGGCTGCCTCTCTGAATGATTTTAATTTAAAATCATCTCTCCACTCAGGGGCATGTCCCTTTCCCAGCGTCCTGGCAAGGAAACAGTGCCCTGAGGGGAAAGCTTTGTTGTAGTGTGCTATTATTATTGACAAAGTAAACTTTCATAGGTTCACAGCGTACGATGTACCCTAGGGGGACTTCACCTGTGACACGAGCCATTGGTTTTAGCCGATTCCCTTTCCGCCTTTTCAGCAGCACTAAGCAGAGTCCCCTGAGCTCACAGTCTGAACTGGGAGGGTGGGAGTCCATGTTGTTGGGATTTGTCATTGAGAGGGGCGCGTGTCCACTTGGAAGCAGGTGCCTTGCTAGTTTGTTCATCTCTGACCGCTGTAGCCACCATTTCCAATGAGCTGGTGTCGCTCACCCCCAGTTCGCACCCCCGGCCCCTCTGCTCACTGCGGTCAGGGCTTGCAGAGGACTAAGTGTTTCCTCTGGAGCTCAGGAGGACAACTGAGCTCACTCATTCAATCCCTCTGTCTCCCTCTGGGCCGTCTGCCTGAGAGCCAGATGTAATGCAAATGAGCAGATGCTGAGTGTGACAGACAGACGGGACAGCTCCCTCTCCCTCGCTCCTCTCCCTCATCAGGACTCCCAGAGGAACCAGGACTCCCTCAGGACGGACCTCCGCTCCCCATGATAGACACCGGCTCCTGTTCTTCAGGTTTCATTGCAGGGTGGACAGTCATAATCTCTATGGGAGATGGGAGGGAAACAGCAGGGTGACCTCGTGGAGGCCCAAGAAGAAAAACCATCAGATAGAGACAGTGGAAGGTGGGGAGCAGCCACCACCCGTGTTCTGAACAGCGTGGAGGTCATGGGCGAGCCTGGTGAAGCAGCTAAAGCCTGTTTGGATTGAGTTCAGGAGAGAACAGGGTCGGGGCCTGAAGACCTGGCATGTAAATATTTCTTAGAGAAGGTTGACTGCAAAAAAGAGAGAGATGGAGCAGTAGCAGGCATGGAGCAGAAAGGTCTTGTGTTGTTTTGAAGTTGGGAGAGGTAGCCTCATGTTTGTGTGTGGGTAAGACAGGGTAGCAGAGAAGAACGTGTGTATGTTATTGATAACTAACACACAGTGCTGGCTGTGTGCCCGCATCTGCACTTACAAACTCATTGAAGGGGATGGTGAAGGAGAGGGAGGAGCCATACTAGGACCGTGTCCTTGAACAGGCCAAAGGGATGCAATCTGTGTCCTAGTGGGAGATGGACTATGCCTCCAAAACCACAGGCAGAAAGGCAAGGTGTGGCCTGGAGGAGGGTGGGGGATGTGGGAGCTTGGAGGAGCTCTCAGAAACAGGAAGCAAAGTTATCACTAAAACTGAAGATGGAGAAGGGGGTATTGTCGATTTGAGACACGTGGAAAAGACAAGAGTGTCATCAAGAGAGTGAGAAGTGGGGGCCAGGCACACACTGTCCTCTTGCCAGGGAGCGTTCGGGGCCGCTCGAGATGGCCTAGCATGAACCTGTATCTTGATCATGTCTGCCCTCGTCCCACTGCACCATGGAGTCAGCTGAACAGAGGTGTTCATTAGTGGTCCCCAGTGCGCCACAGCCCCATCCTCACTGACTCTGACTTCTGCCGGCTCTTCTCTCTCTCTCCATTCTTCCTGCATTCTCCTAGCAGCCAGACTTTTTTCTAGTGGCCCTCTGAAAGTTAGGAAGGAAGGACCAGATCAGTGGAGTAAGATCCAAGCTACCAAGTCCTTTTAGGGAGCCTCTCGGTGTGCAGGCAGTCTGCTGTGGACCCTTCCAGTGGTTCGGCGGCACCCGTTCATGCTCTCTGTAAGCCTTGAGGACAAGACGTGGTGGACACCTGGCTGCTGTGGAGCCGGCCTCAGGCGGGCCTCAGGTTGGGGGCTATCACTGCGACTTTTCTTCCCCTCCAGAGATTGACGAACTTCAGAAAATGATCCCTTCTTGTTTAAAATCTCCTGGAGTTTCTCAGAATTGTTTCAGAAATAGAGACCATTTGTCCTGGTTTCTTTTCTCAAAGCTGAGTATTGGTGATGTAACATCTGGTCTCTGGAGCATTCCTCCTGCCCTTGTGAATTGCACTAATAGTATTTCTTCCTTTTCTATTTCCAGTTCTCTTCCTTCTGAGTTCTGTGTCTCTATTATTGTCTCTTATTCACACCAGCCCAGGTCTCAAGGTCAGCCCAGAGGAGCCTTGACCTTGGAATTATTTGCCTGATAGTTCATCTTTTCTAAACGATTGTTTTCTTTTTGTGATACTGAATGTGTGGCCATGCCATCAGCACATACTCATTAAGTTTACAATATCAAACAAAATTTTACTTAGTTGGAGGGTACTGCGATATTGACTACAAACCACAGAAATATATATTCTAAACTCCCTGGAAATACGGTATTGAGTTGCTAGCATAGAAATCATTACAAGTATCCCCCAGCCTCAGATTTCATAGGCCCTGTTTCCAACAACACGGTCACTACTTTGGTTAAAAAAATGCCAATTGTGTATCTGGTGCTGTTTTGGGGACATCCCAGAGAATGCCGAGTCTGAACCCTCTGCAGTTGCCTCATCTTCTTGGTCATATCCTAGCGGGCACAGGCTGACTCTGACAAATGCCTCTGCCCGAGCACTCCTACTCTGGGAACCCCCATCCACTAGCGTGGCAAGGACACCACACTTCTTTGTGTCCCTGATATGTGTCGCTCCTTCCTACAGTGGCATTCATGATGGGTTGTCAGGGGATGAATGAGGAGCAAATAGAGACCAAGTGCTCAGATCACGGATGGGTGCCGTGTTGGGGTGGGGAGGCAGAGACGAGACAGAGCCCTAGCTTTCCTGAAGCTTGCTTTCAGGTGGGACATGACTGTTGCTGTGAAGTGCCATTGAGTCGGTTCCAACTCATAGCAACCCCGTGTAGGGTTCCACGGAGCAGCCGGTGAGTTTGAACCGCCAACCTTGCTGTTCAAACCAATGCTGCAGCACCACAGCAGGAGAGACATGGAGAGAGGTGTGATAAAGAAAGGGGGAGCAGCCCCATACCACAGGGGCGAGCGGTCAGTGCCCGCAGCACTGGGGCAAGAGCAGGGCCAGGGCACGGAGCAGAGAGCCATGGTGACCCACAGTGATCTGCAGGATGGGCACTCCAGGCAGACTGAGGGCCCTCAGGACAGGAGAAAGTGGGTGGGGGGCGGGCGTCAGGAACTCAGACTTCATTAAGGAAATGATATGTTATCTAAATTTCAGCTGAGAAATTTAGAATCACAAAATATTGTCCAGAGTGTTTACCAGTTATACAAAACAGCATCCCAGTTGGTAACCACGCTGCCATACCCACCCAGATCATGCCATCAAGTCGTTTCAGGTTATAGCCACCCTGCAGGACAGTCAGGAGCTCTGGTAGCGTCATGGTTACGAGTCGGGCTGCAAACCTCAAAGTCAGCAGTTCGAAACTACCAGCCATTCCACGGGAGAAAGATGAGGCTATCTGCTCCTGTAAAGATTTACAGCCTCAGAAACCTCGTACAGGGTCGCTATGAGTCGGAACCAACTCCACGGCACATAACCAGCCAGCCCAAGACAGAACAGGATTTCTGAGACTGTCAATCTTTAGGAAAGCAGACTGCTTCATCTTCTTCCCACAGACCGAACCCTCTACATCGCCCTGGCCCTTGGGCTATTTGGGGCTCCAAGGTGCTGCCCTGCAGAAAGTGGGCACCCTTCCTAGCTCGTAACATCAGGAGAGGTGGGATTTGAGTCGAAAAGCTTCCTCATTGTTAGTGCTGGAGACTGTCCACACAGATCAATGTGACCAGTCAGCTCCAGACTGTGTCCTTGTCCTTGCCCACACAGTCCCCAGGGCAGACCCTCCTGCTCTTGTCACAGCTGGGAAGGCTCTGGCAGCAGCCTGCCTTGTGCAGAGACCAAGTCTGTTCCGCCCGTCGCCATTCCATCTGTCCACACCTTGCCAGATGGCCTGCTTCACAGTGATCTGGGCAGCCAGCTTCCAACCCCGCGGCCTTCTGCCTGTGTACCTGGTCCACCTCCCTCAGTCTCCCCACCCAGACGGCAGCGTGTTGTCATTTGCTGCCCTTTCTTCTCTCTGCCTTTTTGTCCAGCCACATCACGTCTGAATATGGGAGGATGACAGATACTGAACGGGACCAGATTGATCAGGACGCTCAGATATTCATGAGGACCTGCTCAGAAGCCATTCAGCAGCTCAGGACAGAAGGTAAGACCCGCTGGAAGACATAGACAGCCGTGACAGTGTGAGTCACTAGGCAGGATTCAGATGGTCCCATCCCTTTATGTTTCTTACTTAAATTCAAGTCTGGAAACTTGAAAATCATGTCGTTTATGAACACGTTTTAACCTAAGCATTAAACATAATGAAAAGGATGTGTGTATGTATGGATATGATGTGAGTATGTATGTAGGTGTGTGTGTGCGTGTGTGTGTCTATGTATAAAACAAGCGAGAGGCAGGAAATGGAAGGAACTGTGCCACAGAGAACCAAACTGTCCTGTTCAGTGACTCAAATAACATGTGCTTTATGTGTCTTACACAGAAAGTCTTACACACAGCCCCTCACGTGTAAGAGTTCTATGGGCACGATGCGCATTCTATGTGTGGGCATGTTATTTGTGTGGGTGCAATATATGTAGGCATGTGGTACTAAGGACCTAGGGATCAGTTGTGTGTGTGTATATATTCACATGTGTGTGCTTGTGTTCCGTGTGGCATTTACTGGAGCTACAGTTGATGACAGGTTGGTGAGGACTCGCCCAAGTGTTTCCTGGCCCGTGATCTTTACAGACCACCACTCGCCTGCCAGCTTCTCAAACTGTGGTGACTTGTGTGCTGTTGTGATGGTGGCAAGCTATGCCACTGGTATTTTAAGTGCCAGCAGGATCACCCATGGTAGACAGGTTTCAGTGGCGTTTCAAGACTAAGACAGACTAGGAAGAAGGAGAGGTAGAAATCTCCTGAATGGTTAGGAATTGAAAGCCTTATGAATGGCAGTGGAACACTGTCAGGTATAATGCTGGAAGAGGAGCCCCTCAGGTTGGAAGGTACTGAAATGTGACTGTGGAAAAGCTGCCTCCTCAAAGTACTTGTTCTTATGTGCTGGCAAGTCGGTTCAGACTTATAGGGACTGGACTAGGTATCTGAGGCTATAAATCCTTATGGAAACAGAAAGCCTCATCTTTCTCCTGTGGAACAGCTGGTAGACTTGAGCTGCAGCCTTGTAGGTAGCAGTCCAGTGCTTATCCTATAGTCATAGAGCTGACATTAACGAAGAGAATGAAGCAATGCTTTTGGGACCTTCATTTGCTAATGGGTCACAATGCAAAATGCAAAGAAATAGCTGAAAATATCCATTAATAATCAGAACCTGGACTATATGAAATATTAGTCTAGAAAACTTGGAAGTCATCAGAAATGAAATGGAATCTATAAATATCACTATTCTAAGCATTAGCAAGTTGAAAGGCACTGGTATCAGCCATTTTGAATCAGAAAATCACATGGTTTACTCTGCTGGTACCGACAAATTCAAGAGGATTGGCATAGCATTCATCACCAAAAGGAACATCTGTCTGTGATAGGTTAATATCCATATGCCAGTCAATGCAACTATTGTTTGTTCAAATTTATGCACCAACCACAAGAGTCAATGATGATGAAATTAAAGAATTTAAAGAATTGATATATTAACTTTTTCTATCTGAAATTAATCAAACATGTATTGATAACTACTAGTCATTAGAATGCAAAGGTTGAAAACAAAGAGGAAGGATCAGTAGTTGGAAAATACAGTGTTGGTGATACAAATGATGCTGGAGATTGCATGATAGAATTTTGCAAGACCAATGATGTCTTCATTGCAGATACCTTTTTTGAACAACGTCAAAGACAGCTATACATATGGGCCTCACTAGATGGAATACACAGATCTCAAATTGACGACATGTGTGGGAAGAGACGATGGAAAAGCTCCATGTCATCATCCACAACAAGGCTGGGGGCCGACAGTCAATTGCCTATATCCAAGTTCAGGCTGAAGCTGAAGAAAAATTTTAAAACATCCATGAGGGTCAAAATATAGTCTTGAGTATATCCCACCTGAATTTAGAGAACATCTCCGATTTGAGGCATTAGACACTAAAGACTGAAGACCAGAAGAGTTGTGGGATGACATCAAGAACATCACACGGAAAGAAAGCAAAAGGTCATTAAAAAGACAGGAAACAACAACAACAACAAATGGATGTCAGAAAAAACTCAGCACCTTGCTCTTGAGCATGCGAAGTTAAAGCAGTGGAAGAAATGAGGAAGTAAAACAGTTGAACAGAACATTTCAAATGACAGCTGGAGTAGACAACGTATTCTAATGAAATACGCAAAGACATAAGAGTTAGAAACCAAAAGGAAAGCATGCACTCAGGAATTCTCCAGCTGGAAGAACTTGTCGTGCCTTAAATTTACTTGATGTGGCTTTTCTATCCAAGGTTTTCTTAATTCCCAACCAAGTGATTGGGTGGAGCCATACAAATAAGGTATACAGGACTCTAAGGCTGGGATTCTACCACTCATCTGTCAGTTTGTCATACTGTGGTAGGTTGTGTTCTGCTGTGATTCTGGAAGCTATGCCACTGGTGTTTTAAATATTTTAAACCTGTCACAGATGGTGGACAGGTTTCAGGTGAGCTTCCAGACACTAGAACACTGTCAGCATCTAATTACTAAATATTCATTGAAACATAACAAAGAGCACCAGAATATTGTCAGATTTAGTGCCGAAAGACGAGCCCCTCAGGTTGGAAGCACTCAAAATGTGACTGGGGAAGAGCTGCCTCCTCAAAGTAGAGTTGACCATGATGATGCGAATGGAGTAAAGCCCACGGGACATTCATTTGTGGATAGGGTACACCTCAAAATAAAGAGCAACAGCTAGCTGTAAACATCCAATAATAATTGGAACATGAAATGTGTGACGTATGAATCTTGGAAAATTGGAAATTGTCCAAAAGAAAAAGTGGAACCCATATACATCGATATCCTAGCCATTAGTGAGCTGAAATGAACTGGTATTGGCCATTTTGAATCTGATGACCACATGGTTTACTATGCCGGGAATGACAAATTGTAGAGGAATGGTGTTGCATTCATTGTCAAACAGAATATATCCAGATTAGTCATGAGGTACAACGCTGTCTGTGATAGGAAAATATCCATGCACCTACAGAGAAAACCAGTTAATACCACTATTATTCAAATTTACACACCAATCACTATAGGCAGTGAGGATGGAATAGAAGAATTCTACCAACTTCTTCAATGTGAAATTGATCAAACATGCAATCAAGATATATTGATTGCATGTTTGATCAATTTCACATTGCAATCACTGACAATTGGAATACAAAGGTTAGAAACAAAGAGGAAGGATCAATAGTTGGAAAATACGACCTTGGTGATAGAAATGATGCTGGAGATCACATGATAGAATTCTGCAAAACCAATTATTTGTTCATTTCAAATACCTTTGTTAAACAGCATAAGAAACAAGTATACACATGGACCTCGCCAGATGGAATACATAGAAATCAAATTGACTACATCTGCTGAAAGAGACGATGGAAACGCTCCATATCATCAGTCGAAACAAGGCCAGGGGCAACCTGTGGAACAGACCATCAATTGCTCATATGCAAATTCAGACTGAAGCTGAAGAAAATGAAAACAAGTCCACGAGAGCCAAAATATGACCTTGAATATATCCCACCTGAATTTAGAGATCATCTGAGGA